GAGGCAGCCGGTGGTTCGGCATTCATAACACATATCCCCACTACCTCAACTGATGAAGTTTCGATATTTCATCTGTTGATTTGGCATCCCTACCTAGTACTCGTTTTCTAACTATAGCATTGTTTATGCGGTTGTCCCAGGATATACGAGAAATGCATTGAAGACAGCTATGGTAGAAAACCAGTAACCTACGTATAACCTCTACTCCTACTGGTCATGTTTCACAGTCATAACGTAAGATGGAGTGAACTACTGCACAGTAAACCCGTCCTTCAGTTAGCGAAGCGATATCTCGCCTACGCCATAAGTAACGCAGGTTGGAAAAAGCCAATAGAGCTTTCTGTATCCCTGCTGAGACTTCGTCAGTCACCAGGCTATTAGAGCTGATGAGACTCCCGAGATAAGTGAAGCGGTCAACACGCTCAACTGCCTCACTCCCTATCATTAGTTCATGTGTCGACACAAACCAATCCCGAAGCAACATTTTGCATTTCGACGGGCTGAATCACATCCCGAACGTGCGTGTATCGTTGATTATCGTATTCTTGAGACCCTTAATTTTGTCATTGTCTTCTCCATCGGAATATTCTAAATGAACAAGCTAAACTCCTGTCTTTCATAGTTCATGTGGATTGATATAAGTCAAGCTTTACCATGACTGTAGTGAAAGAGAACACAGGTGGGGCAACCGAATTGTATTAAACGAAAATCACAGAGTTACTCAGTAAAATAGGAAAACCATATCGTAAATCGTTAATTTGCAAAATAACAGTTCATCATATCGAACTGGACTGTTCCTGTTGCAAAACATCAATCCATTGTCACTATTCATGCTATTTCATACAAATTCCATTGTGTTCTAACTCATCCTTTCTTGATCTTCCCCCATCTTCTGCTGCCAGACATTACGTTGACGCTCACGTCATATACTACTTATAAATAGCTCGCACCACAGCACCACAATGACATTTAATAACTAGTCGATGATATCCAATCAAATAAATTCAGAGAGTGGGAGAATAGTTAAGCGCTCACTTCATTTTAAACTACACATCCTCATTAAAAGACAACATGAAAGCATTACGATTAAACTAATCTCACTGTAAGCAACTCATCTTCAACTACAAACATTTTCCGACAGAAGTATCCAAAACATAACTCTCCATTAACTTTCAAACCACAATGAACAGCAAACAGCTAACGCCTCAAAAATCAAACATTTATCTCCTTCTTCTAACGCACTCAACTCTCATCTTAATTACAATTTTCTTTTATACACCGATATGTGATCAATAATTATTCTTGTCCCAAAGTACATACATACATCTGCTAGTTTCAAAAATAATTCAATTTTTTCAAAAATTATATATGTATATAATATTTTAGATCAAAACATTCTTTTCTTAAAAGCTACTTTTATATTAAATGATACCAATCATATGTTGTGTAATGCACAATTTCAAATCAAAACAGATTAAGCTTACAGCAGGTACACAATCAAATATACGTATATACATATTTTTTTTTTCAAAAAATAAAATTCTAATTAGTGATATTCTTCTCTTCCAATTGTCTATCATTATGATTTGAATATCTAAAAAACCGCCCATAATTAAATATTCATTTCTTGTGTTTCTTTTTTTAGAAAAAAAAGGTAGATCACTCACTGTTTGATTCTTGATAATTAGCAATTCATTTTAAAATAAAACAAAAAAGAATTCAAAATTATTCAATGTTCAATTTGTTCAATTTGTGTTTAAAACGAGCGGCAAACTTTTGTTTTAATGTATGTATTCACAGATGATTGAACATTGAACATTGAACATTGATATTTTGTGTAACATTCCTTGAAGAAGACAATAATAAATGTTTGTTTGTGTATGTGTGTGTGTGTGTGTGCGCGTGTTTATATCGGTTGTGCTTTTCGTTTTCGCAAATCTGTAAACAAAATGAAAACAAAACATTGAAGATAAAATATGTTTTCGAGTGTTTGTCATTACAAAAAGATGACAGTTTCATGTTGTTTTATTATTGTTCTCAACTTTGAAGTGATGTATGATGAATGTAGTTGCTATTATTAGGTAAATTAGTAGTTCACAGTAGTGCTTATCTGTTCTAGTATCATTGTTCTACAGTGTAAATAATAACAATATGACATAACACAAGAAAATTGATGCCTATTTCCTTTTTGTTTTGTCGTCGTAAATGTTCAATGTTCAATTTTAAATAAATAAACAAACAAACAAACAAACGAAAAATACTAATTATCTTATCCTTCAAACAATACGATCTGATGTGGCATCTTTATATTGTAACTTTGAAAATTTATTGTTATCTGTCACTTGTCAGTGAATAAGATAATTGAAAGATTAGGAGTTAATTAATAAATTCTTTCTATTTAATAGTGTAACAGATTATAAGTAGTAGTAGGAGTAGTGTGGTGTGAACTACTTATAAGTAGTATACGACGTGAGTGTCAACGTAATGTCTGGCACCAGAAGATGGGGGAACATCAAGAAAGGAAGAGTGGGAACACAATGGAATTTGTATGAAACGCATGAATAGTGAAATGAATGTCAGACAATGGATTGATGATGATGGATTGAAGATTTGCAAATTAACCGTTTACGATATGGTTTTCCTATTTTACTGAGTAACTCTGTAATTTGCGATAAATACAATTCGGTTGCCCTCACCTGTGTTCTCCTTCACTACAGTAGTAGTAGTGAGTAGTAGTAATTGATATGTTTCAATGCTATTATGAATTCATCTTAACCGGAGTTGGGGATGTTAGATTCCCAAAACTCGCTTGATAAATGTCTTATTTTGGTTTTCACGTTTGCCAGCATGGGCTGATCAGTTGATCTTGAGATTTCATTTCCCACTAGGAAAATCCATGGCTGTGATTAGCTGCTGTGTATTTTAGTGTGCTATTTTTGTGACTGTCCCAAGCACGTTTCTATGATGTATAAATAAACGAGAGTTGTATGCTTGATTATACTGTGATTGTTGGGTGTTTGTAGAATATACTTCTACGCTTACAAAGCCTTTTTTACTTCAGCTTGGGATTCAAGGTAGCCTATCTGGACGCTGGTAATTGTCTCGTTCGCGTTTATCGACTCAGGTGAACTCGTAATAGCCTCAAGTATACTTGGTGACGAACATAATAACCGGTTAAAGAGAGCGAAGAACAAATGATCCAGTGATATGATAAGCTATTCCGATCGATTGTCCCCGGCTGTGCAAACGATATCAAGGAGTCTTGATATGGCATAAAAAATATAAGGGTTAACAAGCACACAAATCCAGTTTATTTATACATGATAGAAACGTGCTTAAGAAAGCCACAAAAATAGCGATCTAAAATAACAAGTCAAGGATTTTCCGAGTGGGATATGTAATCTCAAGAAAAACTTACCAGTCCGTGAGCGAAAACACCAAAAAATTTAAAATTAGGACCTTTCACAAGTGAGTTCTAGGGATCTAAGTTCCCCAACAGTAATGGTAGTAGTCGGAGTACAAGTTGTTTAGAAACATAACCTCATTGACTGACTATATATATATATATATATATATATATATATTTCGGAACTCTCTTCACCGACAAATATGATCAATATTCTTAGTTTAATCATTGACAAAGTTGTATAAGTTATTCATCATTATGTTAATAACAGTTTTTTTATTAAAAAAAATTGACGTTAAACAGTAAACTGTTGTCAAATATGTAACTGCGAATCAATGAATCGTTGTCAATTATCAATACACATGATATACATTGTGATTTACGATAATGTGTAATGTTTTAGAAAGCTTTTTACATTGTATTTCGGTGTATCGAGGATATAGAATTCAGATAATTCCCTTAAATGATCATTATTTTCGTTGTGTCTTTTGTGAAAGCAATAAATATAGTTTGGGTAACTTTTGGTCTACGTTTTTCACTAAAAAAAAATGGAAAACTGTTGAAGACTATGAAGTATCAGTTACCTGATCAGTTCTCAACAAAGACCGTGTTTGCTGTCGAATCTTAGACAATGAGTTGTTGGAGCAAGTGCCTCATCATTAAACCAGTTAAGTAGTCACATATTTTCATCATGATATTGACGATATCTGTCTCAGTCCTCTCTTCAAGTAACACGATGGTTATAACTCGGACTGTGAAGCTGGAAAGCTCTGATTCATATCTATCAACTCACTAAACCTTACTAACGATTGCAAAATCACAAAAATCTTGATAAAACTGATCTCATGCCAACTATCTTCTATCGACTGAACAGTAAACTCTTATCTATCATGACTTATAAACAAAAATCCAGCATATGTTCTCTTGACTAGTGTCACTGATGTACAAATCACAAAACATAGCTCGACCATCGATCGCCTCGTCGCGCTATGTTTTGTGGTGTAGGAATAGGTTGGAAGAAAGCTAGGGGTGGTCAAAACAAAACACGGCAGAAATCCATAAAGCCACTGACAACTGGAATGAGTCATGTCGGTAAGTGTAAGCTACCTTTATTGGGGCCCGCGAGACGATAGCAATCGGTTGTTGTTAGAAACACAGAATGACATTACTCAAAATCGTTTGCAGTGGCATAGTTGCACCCATTCTTTGTGTTCTTCCAAATACTAATCTTCTGAATTCCTCATCACATTCATCTTTCTCCTCTCAAATTTATTTCATTGGATTATACTCCCTGAATAATATCTTTGGACCGTAATGTTTTCGACCACTGCTCATACTTGTACTACTATGGGATTCGAATCGACAATTGCATCTCTGTATGCTAAGCTAGTATGGCAACTTGAACTGATGTACGCACGTATGAATTTCTACGTTTTAACTAACTGACTGACTGACTGGCTAAATGAATTACTTGAAATTGTTTAATTTGTCGTCATTCAAATATGCGCACTTTTTCTTTTTTCTTCATTTTTGTTCAATTGTCCAATAATTATCACATTGTTATAATTCTTCTTCTTTCATCATTTGGTTTCAGGTAAACCGTTACATTGTTGGGTACCACAAGAATTTACTAGTTCATGGGAAGATTATGCTGAAAATATCTGTTGGGTCCAGAATACCTATTTTCTATTACCAAATGAAGCTATCCCAGAAGATGATTTTGAATTATTAAAAGTACGACATATTTCATATTATCAATGGGTAGCTATAATATTAGCTGGACAAGCTATGATGGCATGGATACCACATGTACTATGGCGTGTTTGGTCAAAACGTGTACCAATCCTATTGAAAAATGCACGTGAAGCTGCTGTACCAGATAAAGAACTACGACATAAGGCAATAAGTTGTCTTGTAGCTGCATTAGAAGAAATATCTGAAGCATCAAAACGTTATCGACGTACCCGCGGGGTATTTCATCGTTGTCTGGGTGGTCCACCGCCAAGTACACGTATTACATTATTATTTTTAATTGTAAGAATATTTTTTATTGTAAATAATATTGGACAAATTTATGTAATGAAACATTTTATCGGGACAAATGATACTTTATTTGGTTTACATGTATTTCAAGAATTATTAATTGGTAGTGAATGGGAAATTAGTGGTTTATTTCCACGTGTAACTTATTGTGATGTGAAAGTGAGGAAGCTGGGACAATTGAAACCTGCATCGTAAGTTGAACAACATTTTTTTAATTTATTTTCAATGGTTATTGATTTATTTCTGATAAAATTTGTTTGAATTCAATTGTACATTGAAGTGAGTAAGATTCATCAAAAAGAAAGAAGCGTTTTAATTTACTTATCACGATGGAGCTTAAACTTAGGTTGTCTAATACTTGCTGCTGAATGATGCTATCAAAGATATCTGCTCATGGAATATATGTATGTCAGTTAGAAACTGAACATTTTCATTTCTTTATCTCAACAATGTCTAAGCAAACAAAACTTCGGATTCACTGGCCAGACACTATCAACAATAACCTACTGCAGGATCAGTCAGTCAGTCAGTCAGTCAGATGCAACGTAGATCTTCGTACATAAGTACATCAGTTCATGTCGCCATATCACATCAGCACAGAGATGTAATTATCAATTCAAATCCAATAGTAGAAGAGGTAGTAAAGGTATTAGCAATAGGCGGAGAGGTTAGGATTAGAAGATATTATTCAAGAAGTATGATTAAATGAGAAAAGTTTAGAAAGTCAAAACTAGAGGGGTTGAAGAATCCAGAAGATTAGGATTTGAGAGAACACAAAGAATAAATGCACCTGCGCCACTGCGAGCGATTTTGAGCCATGTCATTCAAGGTCTCTAACCATCGATTATTATCATCTCGCGGACAGAATGGAACAAACCGGATTGCAACAGAGGAGAGAAATCAGAAAGAAGTGCTAGAGTTTTTAGATAGGACATATATTGAGGAAAGCACTCGACTGTGTCACAAGACAAGTCATTACTTGAAGTCCTCAAGGCCAAAGGAAAACCGGAGAAATACATTACACCGAAAAATGTAAACAGTTATGAGAAGAATGAACAAAAGTTGGACAGAACTGGAAAGGAAGGTTCAAGACAGAGTAAGTTTGCGAATAATGATAGGCTGCCTAGGTTCCATTAGGAGTAAAAGGCGTAAATTAGTAATATCAACAATGCGAAAATACTAATCTTTACAAATCAAACAGTGATTGTTGTCACTTGATGTTTTGAAAATAATTATCATCACAGAAGTAAGTGAAAACAAGAAAGCTTTAGAAAGTGTCACAGCTTAATAAGACTTCAATAATTTCTTCGAAACCATGTTTATTTAGAAACTCGAAAGAATATTGAAAATATTATTGAGAAGACTGAGGCAGGCGCTGAAGATTCTGTTATGCAAATTTACACTCTTAGTCAATTAAAAACGAAAACATTACATTGAATACTCTATTTGCACACCATCTTCTTGAGTCGTGACTTCCAACACTCCATCCTTCTTCCATTCCTGTTGTTGCTTCCTTTCCTTCCTGTTGTTGATACTCTATTTATTTCTTGCTTTTGTTCCATTTGCTTTCCGTTTTTGCTCTTCTGATCGTGCGACTTCTTCTTCTTCTTTCACGTCCCTTCTTATACTACTTATATCGTTCGTATAAGTAGCACACACCACACTCTAACGAAACAACATTCTTTTACAGGATTCCGTGCGGACTACAAATGAACTACTCGGTTATCTTTGTCTGATTTCGACTTGATAGGTAATAGTTCATTGTGTTGTTCATAGGATCCTAGAATATCCAGGATACATACAATCCTAAGAGTATACCCGTTTTCCTTACACAACCATACTTTCAGAATACCTCTGCATCATTATTTCTCGACTTCTATCACTTGTTAGGTAACTTAGCTGTTGTCAAGAAATGAGTGTCTCTCCGTTTACTACTAATACTTCTGCTACCTCTACTACTATGGGATTTGAATTGACAATTACATCTCTGTGCTAATGTGGTATGTCAACTTGTACGCATGTACATATGAAGTTCTACATTTCTATTGATTGATTGATTGATTGATTGATTGAAGAAGTAAGTGTGTAAAAGTTCAAGTACTCATGAGTTGAATTCAATTACAAATGATAATCACATTGAAACTCGAATTTCAGTTCCCTTTATTGCATTGTTTTCCAAGGTATTCTGTCTAAATAACTCATTGAACGTTTGTAAATTTATTTATATAACAGTTTTAGACAGTGGCTGTCTAGACTTTACCACGTACTCATTTGTAATGACTAATATTGGATTTAAGTATGCATTGGTATTCATTGCGCCATGAAGTGTACATTTCGTTTTCCCGCCATAGTCTTTATTTTCATGTCCTTGATGAGTGGTAATCAATGGCTAAAATAAAAGATATTCGATAATTTATAGATTTATTGATCAGTAAGTAATGACAATAGGAAATACCTGTCTACACTGTTAGTTTTTTTCTTTCAATTAGGAGATCATTATTTTAACACACTGAACCGTGAATCGATCAATGTTAGACCACCAATAAAAACACCTATTAGCACTGGACGGCCATTTCGTCTTAGTATGGGACTCATCAGCTTCGTGAGGAAATTCTTGCAGTTTTAGTGAGATGTGATAATGGTAAAGTTCAACCTTATCGATTGTAGACAGTATAAATACCGACGACAGATGAATGAGTTAGCGTAAAATCCCTGCATTGATCAGAGTTAGTTAATAACACTATTGGATACCGACAAAGTGGTACAGAGGTTAGGCAATCGCGCGCCACACCGAAGACCTTAAGGTTGAATCTTGCGGGTAGCAAGAGTCGTGGATGCGTACTACCACTGATGAATCCCATACTAGGACGAAACGACCGTCCAAGGTTTGTGGGTTTCTAATAGTAGTCTAACAATGATTGATTAATGGTTTCTATGTGTATAAACTGTTAGTGTTTGAATTTGATCTATACACCATGACCTAATGTTAGGTGCTTCTTCAAGGTTGCAGGTATGTACTGCTAATAAACCCCCAGCAGCATGTAAACTCAAGTCTTGGTTTCTTCCAGATGACTTCCAACCACATAAGATGTTAACACTCTCTAATCTGTAAATAAATTGGTCATTATGTTACCTATGAATATCTCAACATACACAAGGGAAAAAGCAAGATCCTTCGATACAACACAGCATGCACCAACTAAATCATACATGATGGAGAAGCTTTGCAAGATGTAAAAACCTTTACATATGTAGGCGGAATCATTGATTTACAAGGCGGATTTGATGCAGATGTAAAGGCAGGAATCGGCAAGACAGGGGCAACATTTCTACAACTGAACAACTTCGGGAACTTAAAACAACTATCAACCAACCAACACTAATGTCAGAATTTTCAATACTTAGGTCACAACAGTTCTACAATATATGGTACGGAAACTTGGAAAACAACCAAGGCCATCATCCGGAAGAAAAAAGTAATTTATTAAAAAGATACTTTGAATTCGTTGGCCAGACATCATCACTAATAACATACAGTAGGAGAGAACAAACCAGCTTTCCAACAGAAGAATAAGCCAGTAAGAAGTTCTAGTGTAGTGAACGAGAACACAGGTGGGGGACAACCGGATTGCATTTAACGAAAATTACAGAGTTACTCAGTGAAATCGGAAAACCATATTGTAAATCGTTCATTTGCAAAATATCAGTTCATCATATCGAACTGGAGGACTGTTCCTGTTGCTAAACATCAATCCATTGTCACTCTTCATGCGTTTCATACAAATTCCATTGTGTGTTCCCACTCTTCCTTTCTTGATCTTCCCCCATCTTCTGCTGCCAGACATTACGTTGACACTCACATCATATACTACTTATTAGTAGCTCACACCACAGTAGAAGTGGATAAGACACACATTGTGAAAATTATACAACTGCTTTACAAAGTGAACCATAAATGTTGCGGACGTTAGACCCCCAAAACTCACTTGATAAAGCTCCTAATCTTGCATTTTTCATGTTTTCGCGCATAAGTTGCTTCATTGACCTTCAGCTCACACTTTCCACTCGGAAAATTCTTGACTATCATTCGTTGACGGATTATTTTAGTATGCTATTTTTGTGGCTCTCCCAAAGACGTTACTCTCATCTATAAATAAGCTCGATTTGTATGCTTGCCGACCTCGTATTTTCTGGATGCTTGTAGAATACACTTTCTACGCCATATCAAGACTTCTTGATTTTGGTTAACCAAGCCGGGGATAAACGGATCAGAATAACCTATCATGTCAGTGGATCATTTGTCTTCACTCTCGTTTACCGAGTAAGGTGTACTCGTAATAGTTTAAAGCATATCAACTGACGAGCATATCACTAACATGAAATCCTCAAGATCAAAGGGAAAAAAATGAGAGAAAACAACACATTGCACTGCATATTGGAGACCGACATGAAACGGTTGCATTGCATGAGTGGGGTAGAACTCGAAGCGTTGGTAGCCTATGCACCATTTTGGGGATAACAGGCGTAATTAAGTAAATCACTAAAAAAAGACAAAGTTATAATAGTTTATCAATGATATTTTTGATTAGTCTTCTATGCTGTATTCTTTGTTACTTACTTACTTACTTACTAATTTATGCACTTATGCACTTAGTTACTTAATAAATTACTTATGCACTTACCTACATACTTACTTACTTACTTACTAACTTACTTATGCAAATACTTACTTACTTATGCAATTACTTACTTACTTACTTACTTACTCATTTACTTACTTACTTACTTACTTACTTACTTACTTACTTACTTACTTACTTACTTACTTACTTACTTACTTACTTACTTACTTACTTACTTACTTACTTACTTACTTACTTACTTACTTACTTACTTACTTACTTACTTACTTACTTACTTACTTACTTACTTACTTACTTACTTACTTACTTACTTACTTACTTACTTACTTACTTACTTACTTACTTACTTACTTACTTACTTACTTACTTACTTACTTACTTACTTACTTACTTACTTACTTACTTACTTACTTACTTACTTACTTACTTACTTACTTACTTACTTACTTACTTACTTACTTACTTACTTACTTACTTACTTACTTACTTACTTACTTACTTACTTATACTTACTTACTTACTTACTTACTTACTTACTTACTTACTTA